TCTCCACTATACAAATTATCCAAGTACATTAGTAATATCTTAACAACAATAACAAAACAGTCCCCATATTACATTAAAAATTCCTTCGAGCTTGTAAAACTTCTTAATAATATTTCCATTCCCAATAATTATAAACTAATTAGCCTAGACGTTATATCCCTATTTACAAATGTCCCACTAGACTTAATACTAGACGCCATCACTAGCAGATGGAGTGAAATTAGCCCTCACACCACACTATCCTTACATTGGTTTAGAGAAATCATCAAATTCATTGTCTCTAACACCTATTTTGAATTTAATGGATCATTTTATTACCAAATTTTTGGCACCCCAATGGGATCTCCCGCATCTCCGTCTTTAGTAGAAATTTCCTTACAATTAGTAGAAAACAAAATTTTTAATAATTACAATAAACAAATCTTTTATTACCGATATGTAGACGATATCATTACTTGTATTCCGGAAGAAGACATTAACATATTTACTGATAATTTTAACAATTTTAATAAAAAACTACAGTTTACCGTAGAATTAGAGACAATGAATTCGATTAGCTTTCTAGACATCAGACTCATACGTACAAATGACCACCGACTAATTACTAACTGGTACCAGAAACCAACTAGCTCCGGACGATACATAAATTACCATTCATACCACCCTCTTAAAATGAAAATTGCGACAATAATAAATTTAACAGACCACGCCATATTACTATCTGACAAAAACTTCTGGGACACGAACATTGACCTGGTTATAAACACACTGAAAAACAACTCATATCCTACGAACATAATCAACTCGATCATAAATAACAGACGCAGTTACATTTTTAACAAACAAAAAGACCTCACAGACCATAAAAACCGCTTAGACTTAGAATCATATACTGGTGTCATTTGCCTACCGTACGTAAAAGATTTATATTTCTCGTAGAAAAAACTATTTCAACAATGTGGCATTCTGTTGGTATGTAATTGTGATGCAACCCTTAGTTCAATTTTTACACAAATGAAATCTAAGTTCAATTTTGACCGCCTCAGGAATTTAGTATATCAAATTAATTGCTCTAATTGCGAACTCTTTTATATTGGAGAAACTAGCCAAAACCTGAGTAAACGCCTTAATCAACACAAAAATAATTCAAAAAATCCTAAGCAATTTAAAACAATGTTAACTGAGCATATTAAAAATTTAAATCATAATATCGATTTTTTTAACCCTAAAATTTTACATTTTGAAGAGAATACAATTAAAAGAAGATTCGCTGAGGGGTTGTTTTTACAATTACATAACGACAAAGTCATAAATAAACGCAATGACAATACGGCCCTTATCGAAACGAACACGTGGTTTCTTAATAGCGTGTCAAAATTCCTTAAAAAATAACAAAATCCCATCGCCTTTTAAATTTTCCAAAAAATATCAACACATGCTAAAAACTGCTTTGAGAAAAATGTGACATTTCTATCCTAAACTCCAAAGAGTAAATACATAGTTTCGACAACTTGTTAAGTTATCATGATTATTAGTGTGTTTTACCATTTGTGATGTTTGTGTTAAAAAATATATATCTTATCAATGTGCACATACTCATACCATGGATTAATAATGGTTTCATATGCTATATTAGGATACAAAATTGTAAGTGTTTTATTACTATTATTATTATTATTGTTTTTCCACCAAATTTCCTTTCATATAATTTATTTAGTTTCAATTTTTATAGTTAACTTGATTACCACTGAATGATGGCTAAGATGCTAGCCGAAACGTATGGATTTTAAATAAATAAATTTTTAAAAAAAACTCATACTATTTTTATTGATGTTACGCCCGATTATTAAACTCAAATTAAACATATATATCAACATCAAATTCAAGACTATTCAAAAATATATATATATATATATATATATATATATATATATATATAGTTATTTGATCGAATGTCAGAACTTATGGGTATTATGAGTTGTAATAAATTTTGACTTTTAACAACGTTTATAGATGACAATCCGTTTTTTGGGATGAATTTTTAATATTACTTACTTATTACTTTTCAATGCTTCTATAAGGACTATTTTTCACTAAAAATATTTTGCTATCTATAATTTCAAGTAAGAACCTATGTAAGTGGTAACTGAAATCTATATTTATTTTTCAATATATTCTTCACAAGTATTTGTAAATGCCTACCATACTACCTTCATATATTCGTTTTTATGATGTTGTTTTAGTTGTATTGATACATCTTTTTTATTAGTATATATTGTTTTACTTTTCAATTACTTTTTGCCTCATGAATTAATACTTCAAGCCTCCTTTCTTGTATGCCTACTCGACCCCATGGTGCTGAACTGCGGTAATAATATTAATAGAATTAGTAGCGTATGGGAATGCTATTTCAAATACTTTTATATCTAATTATCATAACTTTAACTAAAAATTTGAATTAATGCAAAATTTATTTTAAATTAATTTTTATAAATGTTTCATTAATATAATTGATGTTTGATAACAAAATAATGTAAGAGAAAAATTCCATTTTAAAAAACTAATATCGGATAAATTTGCAAATATATTAGATGAATCGGATAAATTAAACGCATATAAATAAAAAAATCCTATGAAGTTGTAATGAAGCAAATTAAATCCACTAAATATATTTACTATTAAGACAAATTAGTTGACAAAGCAGTATTAGATGTAGTATACCATTAAATTAAAATCAAAGATTTTTCTAATAAAAAAAATTTGTAGCAGATAAATGACATTTGTCATTGGCATAAAATTGAAAACTCAAAAAAAAATTGAAAAATCAAAATTTAAATACAAAATACATTAAGTGATAATACAACAAATGTTCTTATAATTAATGTTACTCACATTTATTTTGTTCCTCGCTCTTACTGAAGATTTATAAAAAAAATAAAATTTAAAACATTTTTCACTCAATGGGAAACATTAAACATTATGTTTATTTATCTATGGAAAACACATTTTTTGATGAAATGCTCAAATCCCTATACTGAGATTAAATTTTCGTTGCCTAAAACTACAAGCAAAAGAATGTTGAGATAAGAAAAATAAAAAACGTTTTTTGATTCTATTTATTTCAATTGATTACAATACATATTTTATAAAATAACAAAAAACTTATTTTTGTCGTTGTCCAAATCGACCGAATCATTCGAAATAAAAAATGGCAATTGTGAAAGATTCGATTCGTCGAGTTTCATTGGTTATGAACGGTAGTATAATAAACATAGTAATTTCATTTATTAAAAATATAATAATGATTATATTTTCACAAATTTGGGATAATATTCATAATTCTTATTATATTCAAATGTTGACCATCATATCCATTTGCTATTAGGTGAGACTAATATTATAAGCGTAGAGTTTATAAGCATCGTTAAAAATTAATTTAACTATTATTAATTAATTATGCAATAATATATTCATAAAAGTGGTCTATATATAGTTGTACTATTCTAATATTATTTATATCTAATTAGCTTAAAGATGACATACATAATATTAGAAAGTTAATTTTTATTTACATTAAATCAAAATCTAATTATTATCGATAATTAATTTTTTTAATAATTTTAATATCTTGGCACAAATACTATAATTGTTTTGTACTCTTATTATTTCTTAGTGACATGTTAATTACACCTTTCAAAACAAAAGCAAACACATTTCACAATCTTACGTTAAATCGTATATCGTTATATTTTTAGGTTTTAAAGCACTAAATATTTTGGGATGTTTTAGGAAACATGCTTATTTGTGTTTATGTTTCTACAACGTGGCTTTATGGACGGCAACTCAAACGGTTGTCCTATCTCTACATAATATTTTTTTATTACAGTTTCTGTACAGCTATTGATTTTTTATTGATACAACATTGCATAGAAAAATGGATATATGTGTGTATGTGTGTGTGCGGATACAAATTTTTGTCGACGATTTTGCGAACACGGATCAACCGATTTGAATAATTAAAAAAATCATTCGATTCCTACTAATAAAGAGAAGTGCTGATTAGTTTTTGGCAATGGCAGGTCTAACCGTTTTGAAGATACGGGGCAAAAAGTGCCAAAAATGGTAATTGATTTTTTGAGAGAACGGAGCGTCTGATTTGAATAATTCAAAAAACATTTTACTTGTATCGATAAAATAAACAACTGGTGAAATTTTTGTAAAGGCAGATCCAGTGTCTCCGGAGATCCAATAAAAAAGTAAAAATCAATGCCATTTATCAAAAATGATCATTAGACATATGTACATCGTGTTATCAGATATTCTTTACAGATTACAATAATAATTACAAATTTTATTTACATTTATATAGTTTCCATACGAATAATTACACGTTAGACAACTTCGCAGCGCTTACACGCTTTGATATTTCGACACCAAATCAGTTATGCAGCGCGATTGTTAAAAAAAAAGTTCAACATTTTTAAAAAATTCAAAATACAAAATAAATTATAATATAAAAAAAATTCAAAAAAAGTGTAATTTTTTCAAAAATTATAAAATTTCTCAAAAATCTTATTTTTTCTAAGTTTTGCAAAGTTTATTTTAAAAAATTTAGTTTTCGATACGGGAAGTTCCAGCAATTTGCCTTAGGCAACGATGCCAAACGTTACTTATTTTGTTAGAAACATTTTGCTATCTATATTCTCAAGAGAAAACCGATATCACTACTGCTTGACAACAGGCTGCTACCTCTGATTTTAAATCCTCTTAAGGACTCAGGGGGAGCCATTTACAAGAAGTTTATATGTATACATTACATACACACAAGCACAAATACGCATAACTTTCGCAATGATCCCAAAATATTTTATAATTTTTAAAGCGGAATAATACACATTTCAAAGTGATATCTGTCAGTCAGTTAGTTGCAGTATAATTAAACGAACTAACTTTAACTTTTCAAAGATTACGAGCACGCAAGTGACAAATGACAAATATTTTTAATGATAGCTCAAAAAATTCAAAGGTGGCAAAAGTTGTTGACTTGGTGTTTGCGAGTGAAATGGTGGCACTTCGGGAGATGAAAATGGACGTGGCGATGAACATAATTTTTGGTATGGATAAGTTGGAATGTTGGATTCAATATTTGGCGGTATATACGAAATTGGCGGCCGTGATTTAGGAGTTAACGATACATACGGTGCAGGTCGTGGTTCCGGCACCCATTCCGGCTGTTTGCCATTTGCTATTCTGAGAACTTCCTGAAAATAGATTTTTAGTTTTAGTTCGATAGTTATATTTGAATTTGTAAAATTTTTGCATATATTTGCTGTGATTTCGATAAACTTAAAGTGATAAATACAAATGTACACAAACGTGGAATGCAATTTTATAAAATTCGAACAAAATTGGCAAAACATTACTTTCATTGTATGTCCTTTTCCAATGTAGACTGTTTTTGATTTCAGAATTCGATAACCATTTTTGTCAGCAATGTAATCTTTTAGCCGAAAGTATCCAACGTTGTCCAGCCATCCTTCTGAACCTGCAAATAACCAATTTTGGTATGTTAACATATCCTTAATTGTTATCAAACAAAATAAATATATTCAGAAAAGTCAGTAAGACAAAATACCAGTTGCATGTAGTATGGTATAGATATGAGAAATTAAGTGCAACAATAAGTAAAATTTGATTTTTCTAGGTATTCAAAAAAAAATAGACGTCATCCAAAATCTTCCGGCTCTTTTAAACGAAGGCATGCGTATAGATAATATGGTTGGAAATAATATAATTTTAACATAATTTAATTAATAAAAAAAGTTAATCACTATATATATAACAAACTAGTTATAAATCGTACTTCGGTTTTAAATCAAAGTTACTACGAAAAGGCCAACTTTTACATATTCGTATAGTAATTTTTTGAACATCTAGTTTTACTATCATTCCTTAACACAAAAAAGATTAGACACTATTTGGACGGTTCGATGTGTATTTATAATATTTAATAATTAATTAAGTATGCATACATTTTTTCAATTAAATAACAGTTACTAGCAAAAATATTATAATAGAACAATTTTATATGTTTAGTGAAGAACAAAATTGTTATACCTATAACTGTTCCATCGGCTAAACGACGTTCTTTTCGATACTGCCCGCTATCCGTCTGATACCGAAAATATCTTTCTGGACCTTCATCAGTTTGAATATGGTATTCGGTCTCGGTTGGTGTCAACCAAGCAAATCCTGTGTCCAGTAACACCTTTCAAAAATATTCAAATAGATTATAAGAATAATAAAATAATTTACATAATTATCTACAGCACATAACACTAAAACTTTCAATTGTAGTAGATTAATTATTACTAACTAATTAAATACAGACTGTAGTTAATGAATTACAACCATTTTTTGACACACAGATTGATATTGATATTGACAGGATATTCCAATACTGAAGAAGGCATAAAATTGTATGTCGAAACGTATAAAACACGAAATATTTTTCTTTTTGTTTGTTTTTATGTTTTTCAGCATTTTATATAAAGGTTGGTACCTTTACGATACTTCTTTAGTACGGATTCACTCTAACACGAATATTGAAATTGAATTGAACATTGAAAATTGAAAATATTCCCCTAATTATAAATAAATAAATATAAATATAAATGATCTTCATAATACATTACTTGAAGGTTTCACTCTAACACGATTCGAGAAATGGGCAAATCCCTAATAAAATATGAAATATAATAAAAGCTATTATTAGTGAAATCACCGTACAGTGGCTCAGTAAATGGAACATAACTAGTGTATATTTATTTATCGATATTTTTCAATCGATGATTATATCGAAAAAAAAACTTAAACTTACCCAAACTTTATAAGTTGTTGGGCTGAAACTTCTCCTCACATCTAATATTGAGATGGTAACCCAACGGTTGATCCACCCATATTTGATTACATTATTATTAGAATTTATTTAATAGTACTGCTTAGTATTCAATTTGGCGCAACAATGCTCGGGAAGGGCTATTTTCACATGAAAACATACTTAAGATCTATATTCTCAAGTGAAAATTGATATCGCCACTGCTTGATATCAGGGTTGTTCATGACGGGGGTTGGGATCCGCGATCTGTCTGATCGCATATTTACGCATTACCCACTCCATATTTCTTATATAAAGATCTTTCAAACAAAATGTGCACAAAATTTAAAAAACAAATCACGAGTTCCTAGTACCATATAAAGAATATTATAAAGATCTTTTCACTAGAAGAAAGCAATAAAAAATAAATGATTTTTGCTAAAAATAGTGCTTGAATATGAAGGTAGTACTGGAAAATGCTCATTGTCAGAAGATGTGCACATCTTGCTAGAAATAAAACTCTTGCTTTGAATGGCATATTATATAGTTGCGACGCAAAAAAATTTTATTTATTTAGTACACATTGCTTCTATTACTGAATAATGTAAGTTTTGTGTTGATATATAAAAAATAGATAAAATAATTAATAAAGTAATAAAAATCAATAAAAAATGTATATATGTTGCGTCCGATTATTACACTTTGTTATTGCACATGCCAACATTTTTTTATTAGTTTTTTTCTGCAATCTGTTTTTTTATAAACAATAAGCAGAGACAGCTAATAATATATATTTTACAATATTAACTAAAAAATGGTAACAACACCCATCGACTTATATGAAATTCAAAATTAATCAAATATATATATATGAACTTTGAATAATTTTATATATAATATAATATATATATATATATATATATATATATATATATATATATATATATATAATAAAAATCTGAACTAATTCAAATATACTGAATCCATATGTTCCAGAGTGCACAAGGCCGTCGTTCAGTGTAATAAAAAAAATTCACCTGTATTAGTTAACACTATACTATTACTACTAAATGGTTAATTACAAGTAATTAATAATTGGAACATTGAAACACTTAAAAAAAACATTTATACGTGTGTGAAATTGAAATGTTTTAAGGTATAATTCATATTAAAAAAGCTTTTGGAAATATTAACTACCCAGAATTCGGAACTCGATATAATCCATCTCTCACTTTGCGAGTCTGATTTGAAAAACACTTATCACTGTTTATTAAATTTTCACTTTATGACTATTCACTTTCTGATAATTAAAAATTTAGATAATTTTTAACACATATCATTTTATTGATTTTTTTTATTGCTGATGATGGCACAGTTTCAATTATCACAAATTAATAGAAAATCCATTAAATCAATTAAATATTTATTTCTTTGAATTTTCACATATCTGAGCGGTTTGGGTTTTAGAAATTCATTTAGAATTTCTAGAAACAGATTTATTTATTTTCCACTAACTTAATATCCATTTGGTCGTTTACACACCAGCACACCACTGTAGCTTTATATTCACTAACTTTTGTTCAATTCACTTAGAAAATTTTCGGCAACTCGTTAATTAATGTTCAATGTATTTCGTTAGGAAAAATAAGAAATGTCTTAACAAAATATAAGGAAAATCTTGGATATGAAATATAGAATAGCTCACAATTATTGTTAAAGTGTTTGTTCCTAGAATTCTATTATGTTATTAAACTCTGTATCCACGCTCCAATCAGGTGAAAGGTACAAGAAAGTTTGATACATTTATGTTCACGAAGTTCAGTTTTAGCAAAATTGCAACATAACACGATATTTAGTAAATATAAGATAAAGTTATCATTTTAATACAATATTTTGAATTAAACTAAATATTTCAAAATGCACCGGAACTAACACCTTATTGGGGTTGTATGTTAAATAAAGCAAGTTGATTAAAATAGATCGATCTTTTCCTTTCTCTATTAAAATATGTGACGAACCATTTATATTATGGTTTAAAAAATTATGGTTTGAAAAAATTATTATATTATGCAAAAAATAAAATTATTATATATAAAATAGTTAATTAAAAATTACTATATGGTTATGGAAATGGAAATATTATTAAAGGTTAAATTATGGAGAGGATTTTAGGAGGGTTAAATTAAACGTGTGCATAGAGAAATATATTTTTTTCTATACATTGACATAAACACACACACACATATATATATATATATATATATATATATATATATGTGTGTGTGTGTGTGTGTGTGTGTGCGTTGGTGTGTGTCTATTATCGTGTGTCTGCATGTATATGTGTAAGTGTGATGTAAATATGTTTAAAAATTCATACTTAATATAGAATTTATTTATACAAGTGCATTCTCTCCACCAAGTCTAGTTTTTAGTTGATTGGTGCAACAAAACCAAAAATAATACTTACAAAAAGTGCAAACAACTCTACTTTCATATTCCTATAGTATTGAACTGGTTAGAGATTTAACTTGATTGAAGTTACTTCCAACTCTTCTGTAATTAATAAGAAAACACATTTATTATAAATTTCGATTTTTGTTTGAAAAATTAGTAATGCCACTATGAAATGTTAATCGTTTAATTAAAATTTAATATAAATAATCAATAATACTGAATTAAAATTTTTCTGGAATATTATAAAACAATGCTGATAGTATATTAAGTCATATACTTATTTATAGATGTAAGTTTGTAAATATAAGGATAATATGTATGTATATATACATATGTAATCAAGCATATATTAGTTTATTATTATTCACGTTGAAGTTATGTTAACAATGCAGTAAAATGAGTTAAGCGTTCTACTGACCAGGGTTCAATCAAATTCAAACGTTACGCAGTTTTGTTATTATTATTATTATTTTTTTTTGATAAATCTCCAGATTCAGAATTTTAGTGTTATATAGTGCTAATAAATAATCGTAAAAATAGTAACGAGATTAGATTAGATTTTAGTTATAAACTGAATGATTGTCTTTGCTCACATTTCGGTATGTATGTTCGGGCGGAGGTGCTCCGGAGCGTTTGCTTCGCCGGAACGTTTCTATCGTCTGTTACTGACTCTCTTTAATGTGTCTTCGATGTGTGTGTCCCTGGTTATTTGCGACATGCATCACACGTCAAAGGAATTGCTTTGCTACGATTGCAAATGATTTTTATAAACGATTGTTCATTGTCAGTTTATCTGTGAGATTTTTTGTATCTTTTATCTCGCTTCAGCATTTATTCTTAAGGCTGTTTTACATTCGGTTACAGATTGCGGCTCACATAGAGCATAAGCCAATGACCCGGCTTAAGCAGCGACTTAATGCATTTTCAATGACCTATATAAGATTCGCATATCGAATGCATTAACAATTGTGACCTAGAAATGATCTACGATATACGCACACTGATTTTCATCATGGTCCGATGACTTACATAATATTACATTTCCAAGAAAATTTCAGGAAAAGCGTTTGTTTTCCAGACCCGTGTAATAGAAATTAGAATGAGTGTAATAGTGAATATTGTTAGGGTCCTTTGTTGGTATTGCCGTCGTTCTTTTATCCGTCTGTCCGACTGTTACAGCTCTTTTGGTTCTAAAGAGATAAATCTGGTCAGAAAATTTGGCGACAAGATTTTAACTAAACTAGGTGCATGGCATCATGCCTTAAGGCAAAATGCTGGAATTTCCCGTACCGTAATTGAACATATTGGTACGGAACCCAAAAAAAATTATACAAAATGTGTACACATTATTAAAATCTCTATAAAATATCTGATAATTTGATGTACATATGTCCAATAAACATTTTTGACCGCCAAATGACATTTTTTTAACTTATTCTTATTGAGAGTCCATAACCGCTGAGCCTGCCTTTCCAAAAATTTAATCAGTTCTTCATCTCTTCAATACAATAAAAATGTTTTTTGAATTATTTGAATTATTAAAATCGGACGCTCGTTCTCTTAAAAACTGAGTTACCGTTTTTGGCACTTTTTTGCCCCGTATCTTTGAAACGGCTAAACCTGATTTTGCCAAAAACTAATCAGCACGTCTCCTTATCAATGCGAATCGAATGTTTTTTGAATTATTCAAATCGGTTGATTGGGATTCTCTAAATCGTCGACGAAAATTTGTATCCGCACACACACACATACTTCCATTTTTTCTAAGGTATGCCAAAATATTCAGATACCTTTGAAACGTAAAGATATATAAAAATTTTCATTTTCGATTTTTTTTGCGATTACTATAACTTGCCCTACGGGAAGTTAATAACTTTTCTTGAGTTTTGAAATTTTAGAGAAAATGGCATGTATATTTATCCGTTCATATTTTTTATATTTTAAATTTTGGAACTCTTCTGACAGGAAGAGTCGGTCGAGATCAAAGCGATCAGTTTGATTCAAAACAATAAAATTTGAATACAATTTTGTTCATTTTATTTATTACTAAAAGACAAATATAAGCTAAAAACTCTTAAAAGGG